GTCGTTTTGCAGATTCAATGGGATGATATAAGGAAAGCCCCAGGCATATAAAACTGCTCTATCAATGGTAGTTGCTGCTGTGGTTTTTATTGTCGTTATTACTACAGTGGTAATGACTACTGCCTGGAGGCATTACGAATGGAAAAATCAAATTACAAAAAAACATTTTTTATTAGTAAAATAATTCTGACTTCTATTACTTAGCATTTAATTCGAAGCTATTTATATTGTAATTAGCTTGGCAATCATATTTTTCATTCATGACAACCGGATAAGGGTAACATTATTACTCCTGTTTTCTAGATGAGGAAAAGACAACATTTCCATCTATTCTGTCTCCAGTTTCTATGATTCTATGATTAAAGACACCTGCAATTATGTTCACTCGTTCCCTGTGAAAAATGATATTCAACACAGATGGCAAATGCAGGAAAGAAGAATTAACAAGCACTTGATAGAAACCCCAAAATAACATCTAAATAATCACTTCTGAACATTAAAGTCATGGCAAACAAGTTCCAATTTTATAAAGATGTCAGGAAGGATTAAGGAAAAATTAACAAATACATTTTTCTTTATCTTCATTCATTTAGAAATGTCTGACAGAGCTTAGAAATTCTACTTGAAATGCAGACAGAAGAATGGTTAATTTCCTCGATGAAGGGTCTTCCATTAGCAGATAAGAATACACTAATATGTCCTGATATTTTATCTTAAATCAGAGCTACAAAGTAAAAGAGATGTAAGATGGAGAGACCCAATTCAGTGGTTCTCAATCATCCCCAAGAAGTCCATGGCCTGTGGGCAATGGTCCCATAACTTCAAATGTACACTAAACACATTCCCAACACTGAAAAATGGCTTTCTCGTAAATGTCATCTTTGTCATATGTACAAAGTTACCATGAATGAAATACAAATGCCCCTAGATATATTACTGAATTTGTAGTCACTATATATAACCACTATTACATGGGGAGGGGAGCCCTCAATTTTTTGTTGTTAAAAAGGAGTCTTCATCCAAAAGGTTAGGAAACACTGATCTAGTATAACCCTTTCATTTTATTGAGTAGGTCCTAGAAGATCTTGGGGACAGCTGGGATTCCAATTTAGGTTTTTAATTCCCAAATGGTCTTTGTCCCACATCATACATCCCTTCCAGTGATAAGTTAACAGCCATGGCTGTGTCCTCTTTCTAATATCCCATCTCTTTCTAAAAGAAGAGAGTATAGTCCTACCTTCTATCCCCAGATATGCTCCAGAATTTTCTACATATTCTGAACCTTTCATTTCTCTTTCTTTCCTTCCCCTCCTCAACTCTCTAGTTTATACTTGTAGGGTTAGCAGTACTCCACGCCTTTCAAGCTCTGATGCTCTGAGTGCTCTTGGACATTTAGTCTTAATATGAAGGTACTAAATAAGGAATGAGTTAAGTATGTGTAAAATACACATATGTAGCCCTGACTGGTTTTGCTCAGTAGTTAGAGCATCGGCCCTTGGACCAAGGGTTTTGGGTTCAATTCACGGTCAAGGTCACATACTTGGGTTGCAGGTTAGATCCCTGGCCTGTTTAGGGTTGGTAGGAGACAACCAATCCATGTGTCTCTCTCACATTGATGTTTTTCTCTCTCTTTCCCTCCCCACCTCCCTTCCACTCCATCTAAAAATCAATAGAAAAATATCCTTGGGTGAGGATTAACAAAACAAAAAATTACACATATGCATGAATGTTATTTTATATAAAAAATCACAGAACTTCTATATCTATAGAAAAATAAGAAAATTGGTATATTCATGAATAATTTTATCTTCTCTGAATCTGTCAACACTAACAGGCTCTTGAACCCTTAGCATACCAACTTTTCCAAATGCTTTCACATCTTTTATTTTATTGTTCCAATTGGCCACTAAAATGCAAGTGCTACTGGAGCACAATTGGAACTCAAGTGCCATGACAAAAAAAAAAGTCTCTTTTATTCACAGCCTTTCCCCCAATATCTGATTCAGTGCCTGGCACATGGTAGGTATTCAATTAATGTGTGTTGATTGCGTGAATCAACAGAAAACAGGAATGACAGGTTTATTTATTCATTATTTAGCCTACATGTAGTTTTATTTTTATTTGAGAAGACAGAATGATCCACAAGGGAAGAATTGAATCCCTAATATTTTCAGTCTTCAATTCTCCAGTAATATTTGACTTAACATCCTTCCCTCAAATATTTTAAATGTAATTGTTCAGTTATACAAGTAATACATTCATTTTAGGGAAATCAGATACTACCAATATATAAGAGGAAAAAAATAAAAGTTCCCTATGATCCCATCATCCAAGGATGACACAGTTAACATGCTTATGATATCCTGTTTTAGATTCCATGGAGTTTTTTCTTTTTTCCATAAGCCCTTTTTGTTTGTTTCCTATGATAGCTCCTCACCCTCTTTCCATGTCCTAAATATAGTCCTTCCCCAACATTTAAATCCTTAGTCCAGGAGGATTTTTTCACTTTTCCTTCCAGAAGATTCACCTATTCCTATTCGACTTTAAATTCATTGTGAATATCTTCTATCTGTATTTTCAGTCTTCCCTTTCCTCTGGTATTACCAGTGCCCTGCATGTCTAAAACCAAATGCATCCTGTTCCAACAAAACCAGATCACTCCCTCATTTACCCCATTTCTGTCAACTGTAACAAAATTCTACAGGCTATCCTCAACAAAGTCACGTTTGGTTCCCCAACCCCACTCAAAGTGATTTTCAGCCTTCCTCCCTATTACCTCTCTCATCCTTCTCCTCCTATTGCTACTATTGTTGTTAAGGCCCTTATATCTATATTATTTTCTACCTGGGTCGGCTGCTTTTTGTATAACCCTTCAAGGTTACCCACTGCTGCCAGTTAATTTCCTAAAATACCACTTCCATCTTGCCTATCCTATATTTAGCAATTTGGGATGGCTTCCCACTCTTCCAGAATGGTATTCCAACTCCTTCGCAATCTCAGCTCAGACTACTTTTCCATCCTCATTTCTCATTATTCTTAAAAATAAACCTTTTGCTCTAGCCAGCCTGGTATACTCAGTATTCACCCAACTCCAAAACATTTGATTGAGTTAGGTATTTGTTATGTGTAAAATCAATTCATCCATTCACAAGTATTTACTGAGTGTCTATTCTATCAGATAATGAACTGATGATGCTGGGGATGCCAAGGTGAACAAGACACACCAAGACCTTATCCTCATGGAACTTAGAGGTGAATGAGAGGAGACTCTGAGACATGGTGGTCCTAGCTCAGGATACTTCCAATCTCCCATTAAAATGTCAGATGAGTCAAGAAATCCTGAGGGCTTAACTTTGTGGCCCAGGCTGTAAGAAGGGAAGGCTTCAGAAGAAAGAAAGGGCTGAGTGGGGAGAGCTGGAGTATGGGAAAAGAATTCTCTGAAGTGGGACTCACCCAGGCATTAAAGGATGGGCATACCACCCCTGGCTTGTTTGGCTCAGTGGTTAGAGTGTTGGCCCTCAGACCAATGAGTCACAGGTTCAATTCTGGTCAAGGGCACATACCTTGGTTGGGATTCGTCCTGGCCCTGGTCAGGGTCATAGAGCAGGCAACCAGTTGATGTGTCCCTCTCATTTAGATGTTTCTCTCTCTCCTTCCCTCCCACTCTATCTGAAGATAAATAGAAAAATATGCTCCAGTGAGGATTTAAAAAAAAAAAAGGATGGGCATAACAGAGAAGGGGGTGCCCTCCATCCAGGAGGGGTGTGAGGAAAGGCACAAAGGTGGACCAGAAACAGCAGCAACAAAGGCAGGGCTTATTCTGTACACAGGTTCAACATCATTCAGCAGAGTTCGCTCCCCCTGCGGGGCCCCAGGCTCTGCAGTGGATGAGGATGACTCAGGCTTGGCTCCTACCTTCCAGGGATGGCCATCTAGCAAGGAGGAGACGGCAGGTCCGTGATTTATCCCAACCCAGAAAGCGAGACCTTCCATTAGAGATTCAGAGAAAACATCGAAAGTTCAGGAGGGGCATGTCTGAGTCCCTATTACAGTATTTATAGAAACAAATGTTTTCATACATGTATGTGCACCTACTGAAAATAACTATTTTGTTTCAAAGTGTTTTCTCACTCACTTGATCATTCTGCCCTAAGTGACCAAGTGGATCAGGCCGAGTAAGTAAGATGTGTTTTCCAGATGAGCCAAGTGCAGTTTCGGTGACCTTCTTAGGTTAGAAATACAAGCAGGCCAGAGCAGAACATGAACACCCCCGGCATCTCGGCCGGTCCTGCGGCAGAGGTGCTGTCTACAGCACAGGGCACCGGTTAGAAGGTCTAGGGCTGTAGAGGACACCTGGCAGGTGCATGAAGCCCAGCAGCAGCTCGGATTTCAAAGGGCAGGACGCAGGCCACCTGCGCAGGTTCTGGAGAGGGCACAAGACCCAGTGACAGTCTTCCATTCCCCCTCCTCTAGGTCTTCAAAATCATAACCACCCCTTACGTTTCACCTATTCGTTAAGGCCCACCGTTTTCTCCTTCCACGGATTTCATCCCACAAATCTCCCGGGGAGGACGCACACGGCTGGGCTCAGGGCAGGTAAATATCCGCAGAATGAATGAATTCCCTGGGTGCTTACATCCCTCCCCAGAGCAGCAGGCGGGCACGGACCGCCCTCGCCACCCGGAGAGGCCACGGCCGCGAGGAACGAGGGGGTGGGGGGCGAAGGCCGATGGCCCGAGTCCCAGGCTCGAGTCCCCCGCTGGAAGCTGGGGGTAACGCTCCCACACTTCCACCGAAAGCGCCACCTGAGACCGCTCCCTATTTCCCCATCTGGAAACCGTCGGGGAAGGTGGTGAAAAGCGACGCCGAGGAAGAGCCCAAGCCCTCCGGAAGCATGAGGGAGGGGGGGTGAGGAGCTTTTCCCGGCTCCCGCCGCCTGGGGAACCCGGGAGCGGAAGCCTCGCGAGATCAGGGGTCGGCCGCGCTGTTGCGTTGCCTAGCGACGGGAAGGACGCTCGCGGGCCCCCAGGCTAACCCCCGCTGTAGCCTTAAATCTCCTACCATGGGGGAAGAAGGCGGCGGCCGCAGCTGTGGGACCACTAGGGAGCTGCAGAAGCTGAAGCAGCAGGCTCTGGAGTACTACCGGGAGAACGACGTCCCGCGCAGGCTGGAAGAGCTGCTCAACGCCACCTTCTACCTCCAGCCTGCTGACGTCTACGGGCACCTGGTAGGGACCTGGGACAGCACCCTCTTCCCTCCCCGCCCTGCGCTGCGGCAACGCCACGCGCCTGCGCCGCAGAGTTGCGCACGCGCGTTGCTGCCGCGGGGTTGGCGACCGTGGTCGTGCGGAGAGGTGATGCTGAAGGGCAGAAGCAGAGCGGAAACCTGGGGCGAGGGAAATTCCAGAAAGAAAGTGGTGGGCGGGAAGCAGCCAGAGGGTAGTGGGCTCTAGGCGGACCTGTGGCTACGGCGACAGCTCGGGGCCTGACAGCCTTCCTCGCTACCTCTGGGCAGGCCCGGCCCGCCTGCCCGTTGTTCTTGGAAGCGACAGACCGGAACACCGCGCAGCTCGGCTTACCGACCTCCCGCGGCCTCCTGACCGCGGAGCGACGCTTGGAGTCAGTCCACCTTGGCCTGGGCCAACCTCGAGGCCCCACACCCAGCCCCCTACACTCACTGCCTCCAAGGTCCTTTCAAATCAAGCCTTCCCTTCTGCCAGGACGCCGGTCCCCACCTGACCAGCTCAGACCCAAACTTCCAATTCAGATCCAGGTCTTCACCGCTGCGTCCCGGACTACGCGTCCTGCCGCGCTCCTAGTTTCTATGGCGTTTTCTGCAGCTTTGTGAGAGAGCAGGGGCCTCCTCATATCCCCTTCGTAGTTTCTGTGCCCAGGGTGAATCCTGCACAGACTTGAGCCTTAAGCAGTGAGCAGTTGAAACAAAGGCAAGCGTCTCCTCACTTCCAGATCCATAAGGATTAACCAACACCTACCTTCTGGAAGGCAGTGTGGTTGGGACTGGTAGGAATGTGCACTTATGGTGAGGCAACATGACAAGAAGCAGAGTATATAAATACTGTGAACATGCCCCACGTGTTTACAGGGTTCAAAAGCACATCTCGTGGAGACCGTTGGTACAGAGGATGCTTCACGAATGCTTATTTTCCTCTCTCATGGCCTATACATCAAAGTTGGGGGTGGGCTGGGGGAGGCGTTTACTGAGCTCCTTGTGCTATGTGCTTTATACGTTATTTCACTTAGTCCTTAGGACCCCTGTGAGGTAAAAATTATGATTCTCGTTTCACAAATAAAGAAATTGACCCAGCGAATGTAAATTATTCACAAGGAGCACAGAGAACAACAGTGAGAAATCAAACCCGGCCTGTGTCCCTAGTACCTAGCAGAGTGCATGGTACATAGCAGACACTCCAAAACTATTTGTAGGATGAATGAGTGAATGCAACTTTGAATTCCACTATCTCTTGCTAGAGGAATTCTTGAGAGTTCACTGGTCTAACCTCCTCAGTTTACAAAGACACCAAGCTCTTGTCTAATAGCTACTTAGCACAAAAGTTAAGGCCGGAAACTTGGACTCTAGTTCCCTAGCACAGTGCTCTTCCCAGTCTGTCAGGCAGCCAGGACTTTGGTTTGCATGGCTCTCTGAGAGCTTATACTTTGGTTAGGGGCAAAAGTTACTCATATGTTTTTAAAAAAATGAATACTAGACAAGGTGATAAACAGTTGTGTGCTAGACTGAGGGACAGATCACTTATGCTATTGAAGGATTCAAGGCTGGGGAAGATCCCTGGAGGCTGTAGCATCTGGGAACGTTTGGACTTAGCTTTGGAAGGGTGTTCAGGAATTTGGATTGTCAAAAAAGCAACCTCCCTTTCATTTTTATATCACTGCTCTAGTTTTGGCCTTTCTTATTCTCACCTAGTCTCTCCCCGTATTGAGTCCATCTGCATAGTGCTGCCAGAGCAATATTCCAAATCCTAAATCTGACCATCATGCTTTTAGTTAGAAACTTCTTGTGGCTCCCCACTGCATGCTGAGTAAGACCAAACACCTTTCTGTGTGTGATTCATAGTGCTTGGCTCTCCCTCCCTCCCCAGCTCCTCCATACAGGCCCACTTTCCCCTCAAGCCCCAGGTCTCCCTCTTCCCTCCCCTTTACTTATCCTAGTCCCTTCAACGGAAGTATCTGCACTGGACTTCTCCCCATTGTCTACCTGTTGAAATACTTCACTTTCTCCAGTGTTCAGCTCAAATGCCATTTCTTCTATGCTTCTCTTACATATTGGTGGATTCAGATCCTTGTGGGCAATAGCAATACTTATTATTCCTTCATCATAAAGCTCACAAGTGAAAGAGTTTGGGATTTGTAATTGGGAGCTCTGGATTTGATGCTCAGCCTGCCACTCAGTCGCTGAAATAGACTGTTACAGTGATGGTCCCCAGTGAACCATACCACCAGTGTGAATGGACTTATGTAAGACCCTTCCACATTGACTAGCAACTTGGCCGGTGACTTGCTTTCATCAACAGCACATTGGCAAGAATGATGTAAGTGTTTGGCATATCAAGGCTTGTAGTCTTGGTACGCTCCCTCTTAGAATCTAATCATCATGCTGCTGTGCATGGGGCCATCCGATTACCCTGCAGGAGGGAGAGAGGTCACATAGAGAGAGGCCCTGGCAGTTGTGAGACCTCCAGGATATCCCGTGAGAAATGCAGATGCCCAGCCAGCCCTTAGATGTTCCAACCATCTTGGCTGAGGCACTGCACATATGAGTGAAACCATCCTGGTACGCTGGACCCAGTCAAGCCTCCAGATGACTGCATCTGTATGGGAGATCCCAGGCAAGACCAGTCAAAGAATTGCCCATATGAGCCCAGCCCAGACTGTAGAATCATGAGCCTAGTGTGCTTATTAAAGAGCTCAATACCATCTGGTGAGAGAGTGAGGAGAGTGAGCCTTCACTTTTTCTTCCTTCTCTCTTAGCTCCTGCATAGAAACACCATCTTGAATCTATTTATTCAGGCTTCTTGAGTAGGCTCTCTACCTCAGCTTCTTTCTCTTTCTTCCATCTCTTTCTTGGATCACTTCCAAATGGCTCCTGCTTTTCCACATCAATGAAACTGCTATTACTAAGGTTCCAACAATCCTCTTTGAACAGGTAATTCTATACATGAACTGATGGTCAGTGCAATACAGCCTCTGCATAACTCTTCATCATTAAATTATCAGAGGCCTTGCTGGGAGGAATAAAAAGGGTCCCACTTAAGGTTTCTTAAGTTTTAATGCATCAGTGTTCTAGAGACCAACTGACTTTGGTATCTTGGATAGAAGGATAGGTTAAAGCCAGCTAAAGAGTGACATGGGGCCTTTTAATAAGAAATGCATGTGACTTTCTGCTGAAACAACAAATCAGCCCTGGCCAGTTTGGCTCAGCGGTTAGAGCATCGGCCTGCAGTCCAGAGAGACCCGGGTTCGGTTCCCATTAAGGGCACGTACCTCAGTTGCAGTTTGTCCCCGGTCCTGGTTGGGTCGTGCGGGTGGCAACCACTTGATGTGTCTCTTTCACGTCGATGTTTCTCTCTCCCTCCCACTCTATCTGAACAAAATATGGAAAAATGTCCTTGGGTGAGGATTAAAAAAAACAACAACAAATCACCCCGTGTACCAGAGACTCTGCACCAGGCTACATCCCAGTCTCAGTGAGTGAGGGCAGGGCAGTTCCCACAGAGCTGCTAGACTAATCCTGGCACAGGAAGACACTTGGAGAGAAGGTTATTAGAAACTAGGGTAAATGTGAATGACCTTTTTATTTTTATTATACTTTTTTTATCTTTATTGTTGAATGTATTAGAGATGTTCCCCATTTTTCCCCCATTGACCCCCTCCTCCCCACTCCTACTCCCCTCCTGCCTTTCCCCACACTGTTGTCTGTGTCCATTGGTTATACACATATGTAAGTAAGTTCTTTGATTTATTTCTCCCCACCCTCCAATCCCCCTTCCCTTTGAGGTTTGTCAGTCTAGCAACCAATTTGTACTTCTTAATCCCTTCACCTTTTTCACCCATTTCCCCAACCCCCCTCCCATCTGGCAACCAACAAAATGTTCTCTATCTATGAGAATGTTTCTGTTCTGCTTGTTCATTTTGTTTGTAGATTCAATTGTCAATAGATAGGTATTCATTGCCATTTTGTTTGTTCATATGTTTTATCTTTTTCTTCAAGAAGACCCTTCAACATTTCATATAATAATGGTTTGGTGGTGATGAACTCTTTTAGCTTTTTCTTGTCCGGGAAACTCTTTATATGGCCATTGATTCTAAATGACAGCTTTGCAGGATAGAGTAATGTTGGTTATAGGTTCTTGCTTTTCATCACTCTGAATATTTCCTGCCACTCTCTTTTGGCCTGCAAAGTTTCTTTTGAGAAATCAGCTGACAGTCTTATGGGACCTCCCTTGTAGGTAACTAACTGCTTTTCTCTCGCTGCTTTTAAGATTCTCTCTTTGTCTTGAACCTTTTGCATTTTGATGATGATGTGTCTTGGTGTGGGCCTCTTGGGGATCATCTTGTTTGGGACTCTCTGTGCTTCCTGGACTTGTTTGTCTGTTTCCTTCACCAAGTTAGGGAAGTTACCTGCCATTATTGTTTCAAATAAGTTTTCGATTTCTTGTTCTCTCTCTCCTCCTTCTGGCACCCACAAGATGCGAATGTTGGCACGCTTGAAGTTGTCCCAGAGGCTCCTTACACTATCCTCATTTTTTTGGATTCTTTTTTCTTTTTGCTGTTCTGATTGGGTGTTTTTTACTTCCTTATATTCCAAATAGATGGTTTGCTTCTTGGCTTTACCTACTCTACTATTGAATCTGTGTAAATTATTCTTTATTTCAGTTAGTACCTCCTTCATTTCTGACTGCTCCTTTTTTATGATCTTGAGGCCCTCACTAAGTTCTCTGAGGTTCTCACTAAGTTCATTGAGCATCCTTATAAGCAATGTTTTGAACTCAGCATCTGTTGGGTTGCTTATCTCCATTTCGTTTAGTTCTTTTCCCGGGGTTTTGTTCTGTTCTTTCATTTGGAACTTATTTGTCTCCTCATTTTGGCTGCCTCCCTGTGTTTGTTTCTATGTATTACTTAACAAGAGGTATGGGCTAGCTGAGACCAAATGCTGCTTGTTTGAAAGAATTTAGGAAAACCTGAAGCAGGATCCAAGACAGGCCAATCCTATGGTTAAGCAACTGGCAACAGCTTGGGTGGCCTGAAAGTTGGGTGGGCAGGGCCTCAGGGAATCACCAGGGCGGGGCTACCAGTGTGAGCCAGGTTGCTGGAGTCCCAGATATGGCTTCTGTCTGCCGCCCCCGGGAAGGGCTCACCAAAGGAACAAAGGCCTCTGACAGCACGTCTGTTCCAAAGAAAGCCCCCTCTCCAGCCCTCGCTCCAGTGCCAAACAGCTCAGTTCTTCCCTGTGTGTCTCTGGTGCCCCTCGAGCTGCCTCCCCTCCAAACTTAGAGGGAGAGAGTCCGATAGGTCCTTGCGCGGACCCTTTAAGAGGAGCTGCCTGGGGCTCCAGCCGCTTCAGCCTCCCTTCTGATTTTTATCCACCACACATGGGTGTGAGCCCAACCCGTCCCCTCCGCCCCTCCTACCAGTCTCCATGCGGCTGCTGCTTTAATTTTGTAGTCGTAGGACTTCCATTCAGCTCGATCTCAGGTGGTTCTGAATGATGGTTGTTCTGTAGTTTAGTTGTAACTTTGATGTGATTGTGGGAGGACATGATACCGTGTTTACCTCCCCGCCATCTTGACCGGAAGTCTGAATGACCTTTTAAAGATAAATTCAATGCGGTATTCTGATGGTTGTATTTCTGTGTTGAAGGCAAACTGCTTTACTAAACTTGCGAAGCCTCCCATCATATGCAAAGTGGTGGGGAAGAGTGTACTGGATGGACTGGGGCTTCCCACCCTACAAGTGGAAATATTCTGCACCATTCAAAATTTTCCCAAGGTAGGAAGCAGCTTAAATGGGTTCTTCACTATGTCTTGGCCCCACTGCATTTATTGTCTACATTGTGGAAAATGGATGTCTTGAAATTCAGTGTTGGTGAAATACACATACACATACATTTTTTTAGGTAGACAGGTACATAAAGCACGAACCATAAAATCAACTGTGATGGGTTTATTCTGTTTAAGAGTAATATGGTACAGACATGACATGCTAACTCAAAGATGATCCAGAAGGAGAAAGGAAATGGGGCAAAAATAGTGTTAAAACCTGACATTATTAATTTGATGAGTGCCATAAATCTACAGATAGGCTTATAAATTGATATATCTAGATTCACATAGTTTTAGAGATATATAGAGTGAACCACATAAAGAAAACTGCATTTTCATAATTTTAATAATTTATTTGAATTGCTACATGTTTCTTGTTAGAAATAACTTGCTATAGTCTCTGGGAGGAAAGTAATTATGATGAAATCTGTTTGTATCCTTTTCGCTATTTATTGGAGAGCTAGTGACAAAAATGAACTTAAATGTAAGGTTTTTCTAAGCAGATTTTAACAAGGTAATAGTTTTAAACGTTCCCTGAAGTTGGGTTCCATAGTATTTCAACAGCTATAAAAATACCTCAAGGAAAATGGTATATTCTCATTTTCCCTTTGAAATAAGTGATAAAATATCATGCACATTGAATGCTGGATACATTTGAGTTCCCATTTTCTTCGAGAGGTAGAGAACATGTAGAACACATTTGTGCTATTTTCAGAACATATGTTCTGTGGTGATGGCAACTCACTTTGAAGTCCATGAGAACATGGTACAAGAACTCGCTGAAGCAGAGGAAGCAGAAAGGTTGGGAGCTGTCAGCACTGCTGTGCAGTGGGTCAACGGAACCATCACCCAGGAGCTCCAGGGACTAGAACCCTGCAACCAGGCTGAGGTGGACCAGGTGCTCAGGTAAATGTTCCACTCTGAAGTGTAAGTGTGCAGTATAAATACACATCTGTTTCCTTCCCTTTCACCTGCCAAGGAAATGGGTCTGTCATATCCATAGGACACAGTTGCTGCTTTAGCATAAAATGTTGTTTTTCTTCTGAAAACCATTATTGCGATTTTACTGTGTAAGGCTACATAAGAACTTTCAACCTCTTTTCATGCATAGAGCTTCCTAATGATTCAGTAAAATGTTCCTCAGGAACAGAATTAAGAATGGAGATGATGCCCCCTCCCTGCCTCTCCCACCTCCTCATATGCTCTTGTTGAGCATCCTTATAGCCTTTTATATAGTCGTAGTGAGTGGGTGATGCTTGTTTTCTGTCCTCCAGACATGATCCAGTCTTCCATGCCTTGCCCAAAGGTCGACTCTAAAATGTGAAAACCAAGGGACTGTTTACTAGGGCTTTGTGAGTAGTGTTCAGTGCCCAACTAAGTAGAGGCTAGCATTACTCTTCCTCTTATGCAAGTTCAATGCCACAACCCTCCTGGCCAAATGAAGTTCAGCTGGATTCTCTTTAAGTTTCATCACTTGCTTAATTGTGCATAACATTATATTTTAGTTTGCTTCAGAGTTGGATAACGTGTGCAAAAACCTTTTTAAAAATATGGTTTTTGGTTACTGAATGCCATTGCACTTATTCTTTGTGTGTGTGTGTGTGTGTGTGTGTGTGTGTGTGTGTGTATCTTTTCTACTGTTATCATATCCTTAGTTTGTTCCCCCAAGATCTCAGTCATACCTTCTATTCTGTACATTACTTTTTTTCTGGAGCTTTCCCTCCCCAAACCTACCATCTGGACTAGTTTCTCTCTAGGCCAACTATAGAGACACCATTAGATATCCCTTCTTTGTTCTCCTGTTGCCCCAGTATCCCATATCTTCTTCTTCCTAACTTAATGGATTACATCCTTTAAAAGCAAGAATGAGAAAGGGATGTAAAGTTTTTGAGTTCTCACATGTGTGAAAATGTCAGCACTTTGCTCTCATGGTTGACAGTTTAGCTGAGTATAGAATTCTTGTTTAAAATCAATTTCTCTCAGTACTTGAACGTCACTACCCCACCAGTGTCTAGATTATTAATAAGTCTAATGCAAATTAGATTCCCATGTCTTTGTTGGCTTGTTTTTTGTTGTTTGTTTTTTGTCTACAGAACCTTTACCTCTTTTTATTCTGGGTGACTGAAATTTTATGTAGATGTACCTAAGTGAGATGTCCCGAGTTTTTTTTAACTATTCATTTTAAGCCCCACTGTCTAAAAGAAAGAAAAAATAAGTCCTGCACATAGTGCTACATATTTCATTGCCTATTCTTGACTAATTTTTCTTCTGATGGTCATCATTGAAAAAGAAAAACCAGTAACACTAATTAAATTACATCTTCAAATTTTACTTGACAAATAGAAACAAAGCTCATAAGTTTTTAAAAACAAGTACCTGAAATCTTTAAACATTTATTTCCAGGCCAAAATTAATTTCAGTTCTTGAACATGGTTTCATAACAGCATCATTATATTTTGGCCTTGGAAATTGAAGCTGCTTGTTCTTATATAGCTAAAGAGCAGAGTTAATTATTAAAACATATTGGGGTCAGCACTAAAACATGACCAAAATTACTGGTGCTGTTCCTAAATATGCCACTCTACAGCCATATTTTCTTGCCATTAAGAACATTCTTTGAAAATAAAGTGCAAGAAGATAAGGAGAGAAAAGAATTGGAAAAGAACCTGGAAGATTCAACAGTGCCCACACTTCTCATACCACCACCACCACCTCCTCCTCCACCTCCAGCAAAAAAAAAAGGACAAAAGCAAGGTCAGTGGCTTATCATCTTGCAGAACCTTTAGTAACAACATATGAGGGAAAAAGGCTGAAGCTCAGACTGCCTTGTTGAGTCTCCTGCACACCCCTTACTGGGGATCAAGCTCACAACCTGGGCAAGTACCCTGACCAGGAATCAAACCAGCCACCTCTCAATGCACAGGATGAAGCTCAACAAACTGGGCTACACGGGCCAGGGCCATTTATTTATTTATTTTTTGTAAGATAAAAATATTTCTTACCCAGAGGTGAGCACTTACTAAATAAACAAAGTGCACTGAATGAGGGCAGTGCCGGAGACAGGGATGGGGAGGGGGGCATGGGGGACCTTCAACTGCCCCTCAGAATGTCCATTAGTTCCTCAGGAAGCCATTCCATATTTTAAAGATAACCAACACTTTCTCAGTCCTATGTAACATATTAATAAACAAGTTATTTGGAAAACTTTGCTATTTTAAAGCAAATAATCGAAGTTATCATGGTTCTTTGCTCCATGCCTTCCAACAGATTGCCAACCTCAGTCCCTCCAGTATATTAATTCTGGAGCTGCTGCTAATACTGTAACAGTGTTCTGTCTGTCTGTCCAACTAGAACATGCTCCTTGAGGGCATGGATCATGCCTTGTTCAATTTAGCCCTGCCAGTGCCTAGCATGATGCCAGGTGCAAACTAAAATACCCACTAAATGTGGGTTGTACGGAATAAGAACACACCTGAACCAGAAAGGGACCAAAGAGAACACGGAGTCAGAGTCTCTTGTTTCAGACTCAGATGCTGAGGCCTAGGATGGGGAGGAGAGTTGCCTTAGACAAAAGAATTATGTTAGACCAGTCTCTTGGGAGGCTGAGGACAGCCACTACTGAATTCTATGTAGAGACCATCAGTGGATATTTGTTTGGCAGTTGCTTTTGACTGATACAACTTGGAACTCATCAGAAGGGAAGAAGTCAGAGGGGACAACAATTTGCTGAACATTTACTATGTGCTAGGTGCTTACATCTTGTTTCACTTACCTTACCTCCTTGACTCAGGCCAGTAGCTGTGTGGGGAAGAGGAGGGCAGGAGGGACCCTAGACACTGATGACGGACTCCGTGGTACCTCGTCAGACTGGGTGGCTGAGAACACATGAGAGTAGAAGATGAAGAAGGGATTCTGGCTGGATGGTTGGATCAAGAAGGCATTTCTAAAACTAAAAGGCATTGGTTGGGGGCTGGCGAGAAAGATAGCTAGTTAGATATATGTATGAAGAGATGTTCAACATCAAGTTGGGTATGCAAGAGCTGTGGGACAGTAGAGAAAAACAAAGGGTTTGGAATTCGAAGACTGTCCAGAACTTCTCTTTATTCACTTTCTGACAAATATCGGGCAAATCTTTGAACATATCTAAGCCCTAGTTTAGTTATATGTGAATGTAGGAAAACAGTATCTGCCCATATTGGATGTTCTAAAAATTTCTTAGGCGAGATCCATGCCTAAGGATGATTTGCACATTAGGGAGTGGTAAATGAGATCAAACAGAAAACTTGGAGCTTCAGATGGAAAATATGCTACTCCCAGCCTCCGTTTTCCATCTTCCCTTATGCTGGACCTTCGTATCTGTAAGCAAAGCACTAAAAAATAGTTTTCTTAGAGTCAAACTTCCTCCAACGGAATCTATTATCAATATTTTTGTCCCTCCAGGAGTGAAGGACTCTTTTATAGAGAAACCTATTATACCCCTGGAACCTGTTGAGCCTGTCCTCTGCGGCAGCATGGCCGTAGGGGCTGTGTCACTAGCTGTCGCCAAAACCAGCGCCATGCTGAGCAACAATCCTCTGTACTTCAGTATCGCATCACTGAAGCACCATCAGGTTGGTGTCCGTTATATTCCATCACAAGGACCCTGAGCATCACAGTATGAATGAGCCACGTTTCTCATTTCTTTTCTGCTGTCCCCCTATTTCAGGAACAGCCGGCAAAGCTAACTATACCTTTGCTAATGGTATCTCTGGTCAGCTGTGGGAAGTCATCGCCTGGGAAGCTGAATTTAATGAAAGAAGTGATCTGTATACCCCATTCTGGATTATCAGCCAAACAAGTACCTTACATGATCTCAAATACTTTTTCTTTAAAACGTATATACTCCATTGTCAATGAGTTTTGAGTGTAGGTCCCCAAGGCTTATGACACCAACGGAGAGGGAATTAAATATAAAGTGAGAAAAAGTATTTGAACAAATCAGGGACATGGGAGGAAAGCAAGACCTGGAGTAAAAGGGAGCACATTTAGACCACCCCAGATCTCAGCACCGACTCATGCTAGTGACTCACAGAGAAGCCACATGCGTGTAGCTTTGTAGGCCTCGATGCTGCTGGAAGGTTGTTACAGGGGAGCTGAGGTGTCTTTATTTCTCTGTCCCATGCACTGCAGCACAGCAGGAGGAAGCTGGCCCTGGCCTAGCCTCCCATCCTGTCGAGTCAGAACTCCAGGCCTAGGAGAGGCAGATGGCAGATTGCCAGGCACATAAGAGAGGTTTAGTGCATGTTTATGGAGTTGGGAATGAAGGAACCCGAAGTCGCAGTTTTACTACTTAGTGATGTGCGAGTGTCTGTACTGTTCTTCGTGTCCCAATGAGTCCATATCCTTCTTCAGTCCGCGTATATTCTACCAATTAGGCATCAGGGAGACCTTGATGTTTGTGTTCTATCAGGGGTGTTTTCAGAGACAGTATAGGAAGCTCCATCCCCTCTGGTAATGCAGAGCAATGCAATGAACATAATGGTTTTTTAAATCTCGAGATGATTTGTGATAATTTTTTTTAAATCCTCAACCTGAGGATATTTTTCCATTTATCTTCAGATAGAGTAGGAGGGAGGGAGGGAGAGAGAGAGAGAGAGAGAAACATCGACATGAGAGAGACCCATCAATTGGTTGCCTCCCTCATGACCCCAACCAGGGCCGGGGACCGAACTGCAACCAAAGTACGTGCCCTTGACCAGAATCGAACCCGCGACTCCTTGGTCTGTGGGCTGATGCTCCAACCACTGAGCCAAACTGGCCAAGGCAAGAATTATTATTATCATTATTTTTTAAAGAGAATAACCATCACCTCCCCGTTGATCAGTTGTGGAAGACGAGGATTTATACCTGGCTCAGTGTCTCTCCGATCAAGTTCAGATCCTGGCGCCAGGATCTTTCCTGCGGTGAAGATCTGCTGTGCCGTGTGGGTACCAGCGCACTGGGCTCGCCAACCTTTACCTGTCTTCACATTATCAGAATATACTTCTCTCCTTTCTAAGTGACAGTGGGTTTATATTCATTCAAACCTTATCATGCAGAATCCCTTCATGACCTGTGGTGTGTACTGCAAGAGACCATGAAATAGAACGAAATTAACTTGATCCAACCAACGGAAGCAGCTAGTTCTGAAGAGTAAAGAGAGGGTACTGAGGAAGAAGAGCCTCTCACTCATGTTCCACCAAATGAAAACTGAGGGCTGGCGATTAACGTCTAACCTTCTGATCTTGTAGACCTTGTCGGGGGCCCTGCAAATATTCTGAGTTAGAACTAGCCGTGCATGATGTAAGTTTCTATATTTAAAACTTCTAGACTGCAGTTGTGGAAGATCATGTTTATTCTACTTACAGGGTGTGGAGATGCTTATGGAAATTCAGAAACAAATTAACAAAACGATCGATATGGTATGTAAAGAGAATCGATGGTATCTGGTTACTGACGCTTATATAACTTCTAGTGCCCAGACTATAGCTGGTTTTGGAATTAAATCAACAGTGTTACTATGGAAAATGTGTGCATTTGTTTTCAGTTTCCCATATGAGCCAAGCTTTTACATTCCCTCATTGGCTGTGGATCCAGCTTGTCATGGTACTTAACAGTTTCATTCTGATTTCTGAGGCACCTGACTACTCGATGCTAAGATCATCCTTAGGATTCAGAGAGAAAGAAAGGATTTGGCCTCTAGGATGTGAGAGGCAGTTTGGTATAATGGTAAAAGCACAGTGTCTGCTTAGGATTCCAGTGTTGGACAAACAAGTGCCCTTGGCCAAGTATCCCTTGAGGGGACAGTCAGAGGCAGGATGACAGGCAGCTGTGTGGGTCACTGGCTGTCCCGTTGTATTCTAATGGAGACAGTGCACAGCTTTGTGGCAGGGCTGAGGCCAGGAGAGGGGCCTGATCCTTGTCTCTGGTGCTTTTATATATATAAAATGTGTGTGTGTGCGTGTGTGTGTGTGTGTATTTTGCAGATATAGTACACAGTTCCCAAATACCCCTCCACCTGGTTTCCCCCAATGTTAACATGACACATAACCATGGTATGTTTGTCAAAACTAAGAAACCCAAATGGCACATTACTTATTAACTAAACTCCAGACTTTATTCAGATTCCACTGTCTTTCCCACTCACGTCCTTCTCCTGTTCCAGGATCCCACATCCATTTAGCATGAGGCTTTTGGAAGCACTAGCCTGCCCCTGTAGGGTGGGGCCGAGGCTCAATAGCAGTGTGACTGGAAGGAACCTTGGCTCCAATGCTGTCTTGCCAGCATGGAGTCCGCGACTGCAGGTGACCCCCCTGTAGTGATGGGGCAGGGGACCAAGCCATACAGTTGATCCGAACTGCTTTAAGCACCAGCCTGGAGCCAGTTTCTGTGGTACTTTTCAGGAGGCCAACTGCTTTATGGGTGGCCAGCCTGCAGAGACTCAGATCTGGACCGTTAACCCTGACCTTGCACTCGGCTTTGCCCCTTTCCAGCTGTGTGACCTTGGGCCAATGACTTGCTCTCTCTGCCTCAGGTTTCTCGTCTATAAAATTGGTAAATACCCATCTCATGGGGAGACTGAGGAGTAAATGAGTAGGAGCTGGCACAGTGAGCAGTATAAGTAGCGCATGGACGTTCTTGTGAAAATTCAAATACTGGAGAGCTCTCCAGCCCCTACCACTATCATCCTTAGTCCCAGCCTCTTGCTTGGAGGTTAGCACTTGAAAATTCAGTGTGTGGCCTTCTAGCCGTTTGTATTTATACACACAGATAGATAGACACACAAATAGTGTGTTTTCGTGTTTAAAATAATATAAAAATTCTGCACAAATCACTGCAAATTGCTTTCTTGGCCTTTTTTATGGAGGGTCCATCTTTTAGTGACATCTAGGAATTCTCTGGACTGTGTAATGAAGGCTTTAGTACTTTCTCTGTGTTATACGCATTTCCCTCTATCATGCTGCCGGCCTTTTAACTGTGTCTCACAGAATCATGGGGATTATTTTTCTCTTTAAATTTTGACAGAATGAAATATATCGATCTGTTCTTGACAGCAATGGTTCTCAATGGGGAGTGATTTTTGCCCAGGGATATTCGACAATGCCTGGAGTCATTTTGGGTCGTCCCAACCTGGAGGGAGGTTTCTACTGACACCCAGCCAGCAGAGACCAGGGGTGCTGCTGGACACCAGACGAGGCACGGGCAGCCTCCACGGCAAGGGGCGTCCAGCCCAGCCCGCAGTGACAGCCGTGTCCAGGCTGGAAACCCTGCCTGAAGGCCCTCGCCTGGGCTCTCGGGCTCCTTCAAGCGGCCACACTCCCTCACCCCGGCCACACACGCACTTCTCCTGACCCAGAGAGTTCAGCGCTCCCGTGTACACTCGTCAACTGCTGCAGTATCCCCTTCCCCGACTCTGTCCCTGCTGTCCCCTTGCTCTGCACTGCCCCGCACACTGCACCCTCATCTCCCCAGGGCTGCCTCCCCAGGCCGCAGCTCCCCGAGACGGTGCCCACTCCGCCCTGTTCACCACTGTCTCTCCTGCCTGGCGCACAGATGTGCTCCTGTGTTATTTCTACCAGGGGATGGAGAGAAAGTTCAGCTGACTCCATAGTGCAAAGAGCAGGGTGACTGTATTTGCACATACTTGAGTGAGAACCATGCTGATTCCTGACCAACATGACCCAGTTTACAGAGCCAACAAATGCTGGACACGAAAGTGCACCCTGATCCATAGCCCCAGACTGCGGGACCGCCTCTGTGGGAAACAGCTTTGCTTTCATCTAGTGGTCTCAACACACACCAGATTCACCCGATGTAATGACCTTCGGCTGTTTCCAAAAGTCAAATCCACCCTGCAGGAGAAAGTGCTTGTACCCCGAGAATATTCTAAACAATATGTTGGGCCTACGAAAGCAAATACCACAGTGGTCTTATTCCTTAAGGGCCAGGAGAGGGCTTTGTGGGAGTGAACAGTACTTTGTTCATATGAGAAGCGATGCGTGAACATGTAAATACACGCCCCATGTATACAATTGGAGGCAAAAGGTAAGGATGAACTCATGGGAACACGTGCTGAATTTGAGAAATAGTTTAAGGTTTATAAATGTAGGGGGTGGCTGGCGTGATCCGTGTGTGTGTGTGTGTGTGTGTGTGTGTGTGGTTCATAGAGTGACTGGCTAGGCTCCAGAACAGTGGACAGGCCAGAGGTCCTGAGCCTGGCTTATTGCCCACAGAGATGCCTGAAAATTCCCAGTGACATGTCTCTGTCTTCTGCCCCATAGCCCCCTCCTCCAAAAGCAGAGACGAAGAAAGGGCAAAATGGAGGCAAAAGAGGTCAAGTAAGTATACGTATTTGTTTACCACGCTTGCATATGACATTTATATATTCCCTGTCTCTCTGTCCCCTGTAGTCCTTGTGCTCCAGGGCCAGGGCTAGTGCAAGTGGAAATGCTGCTCCAAGGGCCCTAACCCAGGCGGCTCGAGAGCTGGAGCAGCATCTGCCCGGCCTTCTCCGCCAGCAGTTGTCAGACGACTGAAATCTCGGAGGCTTGGAGAAGCATTTAGAGTAATAGGATTACATCGGAAACCCCGTAGGTGAGAGCGTTGGGGAAGCTGAATCTCTCTGCTAACAGGATGCTTTAGATTTTCACCTTACTACTCCCGAAGAGAGAAGGAAAGGCACAAAAGAGAGCCTCTCCCTACAGCTGGTCCCCAGAGGCACTGAGGCACCCTGTCGGTGACACACCGCCAGAGCTCAGGTTTTGCCAAGAGTCAGGCACACGGTTCTTGTGAAAACTGCTGCAAGAGCCTTGGGAGACCAGCTGAACTTATCAGTAGGTCACTTTGGTGATTGTGGGTGCTCTGAACACAAACGTTTCCCCAACTATCTCTTTGTCGAATCGAAGTTTCCGCTCATGACATTAAAGTTGTTGGATAGTTCCTACAATTAACTAGTGCTATTGCCAGTGATATTTATACCTAGGTTATGTTTACTTTTGAGTTTGGTGTACACACACACACACACACACACACACACACACATACCCTTAAGCCATCAGAATTACTGATATTGCTTCTACTTGTTCCAACTGCATTGTGGCAATTTATGACAGAGGCACATCAATCAAGGCTGACTTCGCAAGAGGAGCACACGGCTGCCTTTCCCTGCAGTCATCTGACTCCTCAAATCTCCTTCCACTGAAATCCATCCTCAGTGCCGCATCCTTTTAGCTGAAGTCTTCAATCCTTTTTAAAAATAAAACCTTTCCTGAAGGGGGTTGCAGTTTTCAGTTTTAACAGTTGTATTTTATTAAAGTGGAACCTGGGAAAGAGCAGGTATGGAGGAAGAGGACAGTTAGGGACAGGCGGGACAGCCTGGTGGCTGTGGCTCAGGTGAGCCCATGTACAGTGGCAGAGCCTATAAAGGGACCACATGGACACACTGAAGGCAGAAAACTGTGTTCTCCAGTCAAGCTCAAAAACCTTGGCGAGTAAAGAAAATTACTCCCAGACACTGCAGGGCAATCATATGCCCAAAGGTCACGCAGAGATGAGTGGGACCTAGACGTAGGATTAATCAGGAATCAGAGGAGCACATCTTTGGAGAGTTGTGTCTGGTTATGAAATGTGGTCATAAAATGTGCCTAACACAGAAAACTCCAAGAACAGTAATGTGCTGTATTTTTGTTGTTGTTGTTGTTGTTAATTCTCACCTGAGGATATTTTACCATAGATTTTTAGAGAGTACAGGTGGGGGACGGGGGGGGGGGGGAGATAGAGAAACATCAATGTGAGAGAGACACATCAATTGGTTGCCTCCTTCATACCCCAACCAGGCAACCCAGGTACATGCCCTTGACCAGGAATTGAACCCACAACCCTTTGGTCCATGGGCTGATGCTCTAACTGCTAACCAAACTGGCCAGGGCAGTAATGTGCTGTATTTACATTCATCATTTCCCTTTGATCTTGCAGCAGCTGGTCACTGGCAAGATGTCCCATCTTGGCTGTTTAACCATTGCTTATGACACCATAGAGCAGCCCCTGCTCCTAATACAAGGAATCTGTGCGAGCCTGGGGCTAGAAATAGGGACGAATCTGCATCTGGCCATCAACTGTGCCGCCCACGAGCTGATGGATTATGTAAGTTTCCACTCCACAACATCTGCTTTTTGTTGAAGTTCATTATTTTTAAATTAGAACTCAAAAGAAGAGCTTATCTATACATTTTCCAAACAGATCCTATTCTTTGTTGTTAATTTTTTTGGCGGGGGGTCCAAATATAAATGAAATTGAGAAAGCCAAGTTAGCTAATGACCAGAGAATAATATAAGCACATAAATAATTTAAAAAATTAACAGAAAACATCATAAGTACATATAGAAATCCTGTAATAAAAATTACTAGACTGGATTGCAATCATGAGAGCTACTGAAAAATAATTTCACAGACGGGTATGTTTTGCTGAGTACAATCACTTGATTGGTAAATGCTGACACTGTCAAGGATGAAAAGTGGATCAGTCGTAACTGTGACTTGATAAGCCCTTCTAGACATGTGGTTCTTGGAGTCTGTGCTGTGACTCACTTTTTACATAAAAAAAATATTTCCATCCGGTCAGTGTGGCTCAGTGGTTGAGTGTCGACCCATGCACCAAGAGATCGCCAGTTCGATTCCCATTTAGGGCACATGCCCAGGTTGTGGGCCAAATCCCCAGAGTGGGGCATGCAGGAGGAGGCCAGTTGATGTTCTCTCATCGATGTTTCTATCTCTCTCTCCCTCTCCCTTCCTCTCTCTCTAAAATCAATAAAGAAAAAAAAAATTTCCAAGTTATTGAAGTTTATGAGAATATATCCAATTCAGCCCATCACAGTGTAATTCACAATGGACAGAGCTTTTTTTAAATCCTCAGCTCAGGATATTTTTCCATTGCTCTTTAGATAGAGTAGAAGAGAGAGAGGGAAAGAGAGAAACATCAATGTGAGAGACACATTGATTGGTTGTCTCCTGCATGACCCCCACTGGAGGGCCAGGGATCAAACCTGCAACCCAGGTACATGACTTTGACCAGGAACTGAACCTGTGACCCTTTGGTCTGAGGACTGACACTCTAACCACGGAGCCAAACTGGCCAGGGCTTCTTTTCTCTTTTCTTTTTTTTTTCAATACGTTTTTATTGATTTTTTAGGGAGAGAGAGAAACATTGATGTGAGAGAAAAACCTCTATTGGCTGCCTCCTGCACGCCCCCCACTGAGGATTAAGCCTACAACCTGGGCATGTGCCCTGACCGGGAATCAAACCGGGACCTCTCAGTCCAGGGGACGACGCTAGGTCCACTGAGCCACACTGGCAGGGTGAGCTTTAAAGGTGAAACTTCACCTAGGGACCACATCTAACTTTTAACTTCAAAGGAGAATTTGAACAGTATAAAGGAACCCTAAGTTTCAGCTGATTTCTAAGCGTTCTTTTACTCTTCTAAAGAAACTAAGAACATAAAGGAATGTTTAATGTAATTTCCTATTCTTCACTTAATGATTGGTTCCTAGACATTACCATTAAGAAAAATAATTGCATGTTTTCATCAGCAACACACACCAAAACTATTAATATACTAACTCCTAGCTCAAACTGGAATGAGTGTTTATTGCTTATATTTCAATAAAATATTTAACCTTGATATCAGATAATTCTTACAATAATGTTAGTTCAAAGTCATTAGCTTTTCCTTACTGACAAGATAGGAATATTTCAAAGCTTTGAAATAATGACACTAAAAGTTCTTGATGCTATTTAATATGAAAAAAGTATGAAACCCTTTTAATTATGGATTTAAGAACCCGCTTAGTTCCAGTGGAATCCATTCAATCAGCAGCAGCAGCAGCAGGGAGTCATTAGCACCACACGGCCGTTCTGTTGCCTCCCCGCTCCCTCGGGTGTCGCAGGATTCCAGGCGCCGTCCCTGAACACAGACTTGGAAGGAAAGGTGCTGTTTTGCAGAGACCACACTAGATCCTTTAGCCTTGCTCACGTCTATACTTACTGACTCGGCCGGGGCGTGCCAGACTTCAGATGAATGGGCTTGCACTCCAAGTCTACTTTCCAGACAATGTTGTTACGACTCGAACCAGCATGCTACCTACGAAAAGAGTACCTTCCCATAAAATCACTTTACCTTCCACATTGGTCGTTAGTATCTCAAAAGCCCAGCCCTGCTCTCAACTTTTAGAATATTCACAGGAGAAGAAATAAGCTGTTTGTTCCTTGTGAGTTGAAAGGTGGTGGGTTCCAGCGAGTGGGCAGGTTTGCTTTGCTACTGTTCATGAACTTGTTTTATTGCCCATCTGTCTAACCAGCCAGGAGTCTGGCACCTTGTCATAAACCTAAGGCAGAAATCACTCCCCTCCTGCTCCTCTGGTCTCAGTTTCTGTGTGCAGAGGGCGTCAGCCGCAGTCAGTGGGGAGCCCTAAGGGATGTCAAAGGGAATGGTGGCTAGATGGCCCCAGGTTAATATGGAAGAGATGTGGAAAGCAAAGCACATGCATTTCTATGTGAATATGGCCTGAAAAGAATGTTTACGATCCTGCCTATGCAATGAACGAAAATGTACTTGAATCCCATGTTTAACGTTTGAGGAATCCAGCATTCCTCCTCTACTCTGTGCCTTCCACTCTCCAGAGCAAAGGAAAGTACGAAGTGCTGACGGGAGCGCACAGGAGCGCGGCTGAGATGGTTGACCTGTACGTGGATCTGGTCAACAAGTTCCCTTCCATCATCGCCTTGATTGATCCTTTCAGGAAAGAGGTAACAGGATTGGCCTGACTGTTATAATAAAACACAGAACAGAACCCCCTTCTTTTGGATCTGTCATTTGAGACGTGTTGTGATTTGGACTGTATCTCGGCCTTTATGAGAAAAGCACTCACTAAGCAAGTGAAGAGCAGAGACACTTGCCTAGGGGTGCGCCTGTCCGCAGCAGGAAGCGGGCTATTCCCAAGCACCTCGGGACGATCATGTGTTTACCAGCAACACACGTGATGCAAGCTGAGCCGCTGTGCCAGCCGGCACTTCATTAGCTTAATCATATCTCGTTTTCAAGTGCTCATGGCAACAGGACTTCCACTGGGCCAAATGATTTTTAACCTAATTCCAGTTACTACGTATGCAGAAAAGTGGCAAAGCCGTACTTTTAAACGGCTTGAGCTACCGAGTTTTAAAAAAATCTATTCAAAGGAATGCCTCTTACAAGGGTTTTTATGTGCCACAGAAGACCGTGTCTCTTCCTAACCCACATAAACAGCAAGCTGAAAGTCCTGATTTTATGAATTTGAGAACCATTAGACAGGCTGAACAGAGCCTCTCTCTGAGATGACTCAAGGTTTTAAATTTGGGGGACTAGTGCTGGATGTGGTTGGGAGCCCCAGGGTCACAGCCTCAGCTCCCTCCTGGCGCTCATGGGAGACACACTGAGCTCAGAGCTTTAACCTTCCGAGGCTTGTCCTGCGGCTCAGACCGCAGCCCCTTCAGTGCGATGCTGTGCACGTACGACCGGTTCTAATGACATAGGTGAAACGGCGGGAGAGACATTGAATATCAGTTTTTATATAGCGGTCTCACCAATGAAAAATAAGTGTATTGAGAATGCAGGCTCATTTCTTTTAGGTGTCTGTTTATCAGAAGTAATAGTAAAACCTTCCCACCAGCCAGTCATTAGCAACATTATGGATTCTGCAGGGGGAAGGAAAGCCTGGGTTTGGACTTCGGAATCAGTGTGGAGAACAGCATCCAATGTGTATACACATTTTATTCACTAGATCTTTAAGCTCAAATTTAATCATCTTAAATTCTTGTTCCAAGAAGCTTGGTCATTTGCGTGGCTGTGGTATAGGCACCGTTCAGCTACAGATGCAAAGGGAAACTATTCTGTGTTACCTCAGAAAGGCATATAACTTTATGTGCTATATGATTCCTGTTTTCTTATGATTGTGTTCAATACATTATAACGATCGATTCTTAAATATTTACCCAGGACACTGAACAGTGGGACAGCCTCTATAACGCTCTTGGATCCAGGTGTTACGTAATAGCAGGAAGTGCCTCCAAAAGCGTTTCTAAACTTCTGGAGGAAGGAAACATCAGCATCCCCAAATCCAGCGGGCTGGTCATAAAACACACAAATCAAACAACGATGTCTGACCTGGTGGAAGTAACCAATCTCATCGACAGTGAGTAAAAGCAGAGGTGGGAAAGACTCATAATGAACTTGGTTACAGAAGCCCCAAATACGCAGCGCAGTGGTTAATAAAAAGCATGGAATAAACCTTGGAAGAAAAAACAAATGCCACCACCTATGAGAGAGTTGGTGCTGGAAAATAACATGCAGCTTACTCGTTCTACAGTGTTCCATCTCAGTCCAGTCCGGGAGGTCGTCTCCTTTAAGGCCATGCCCCAGCAGCTGCGCATGACATGGCAGTGATCCCACTTGCCCGCACTGGCTCTTTTTTTAATTCCTCGAAAGTTTCAAACTCTACCACCTGGAGGTCTTTCAAAACACGCTGTTCCATCAGCCTGGAATGCTTAGCCCTGTACTGTTACTTCGCTAACTACTCCCGATCTTCAGGTCTTCTTGTCTTATATGAAACCTCTTCAGATGTACCGGGTGGGAGAAGAGTAGGTTTATAGTTGTGATTACACAAAACACAGAGTTTATTCTTGTATTATTATTTATTATTGTATCGTTTCCACACGAACAACTGTAAACCTACTTTTGCCCCACCCTGTCTACGCCTTCCCGGACTTCCTCCGCCCCTAACTGGCCGCTCTGAGCCTCTCACAGCAGCCTAGTTTCTCTCTGCAGGACTGGCCACAGGTACTTGTACAGGTATTTAATGCCCGGTGTCTCCCACTAGCCGAAACTTCCAGGAGTTCATGGGAGTCTTGTTCACTTATGCACAGAGCCTGAAACATAAAGACCAGGAACCAGGCAGAGGGCTGGTCTCAGGCCTGAAGCAGAACTCAGAGTGGGATCGGCAGGCAGGGGCCTGGGCTGGTGCCAGAGAATGGCACGAAATGCTGGTGGTCCCCTGGCCTGCAGGCTGCCCCAGTCCATCCACCACTCAGCAGTCATTGTCACTCACTTCAGAGTGCTACTGTAGCTCCTGCCTCTAAAATGCAAACACTGTCACTGCAGGAAGAACTGTGGCTCACATCCCTTGCAGACTTTGGGAAATTTCAAGGGGTTTTGAGATCCTTAAAGGAGTAAATACTATCGCTGCTCTTCTAATAAGAAAACAGTTAGAATGACAGGTTCATTGGAATAAAATTCTACAGAATGGGTTGTGAAATCCATTATTTAGATACATTAACTCCCCATGCAATGCCCTTGCACGTAACATATACTGACTCAAAGATGGACTTTTTTGCACGAATATGGACGAAACTGAATAATGACTTACAGCTGTGGTCAAGGAAATGTTATCGGTCTAATTTGAGCATTCCCCATCCTTTAAAAAAAAATATATATATTTTAATTCTCAACTGAGCATATTTTTCCATTCATCTTCAGAAAGAGTGGGAGAGAGAGAGACATCGACTGGTTGCCTCCCACACCCTGACCAGGGCTGGGGACTGAACTGCAACTGAGGCACGTGCCCTTGACTGGAATCAAACCCAAGACTCTGGTCCGCAGGCTGACGCTCTTACCTCTGAGTCCCACCAGCCAGGGCGAGCAATTTCCCCTTTTTGGTAATAATGGTGAATCTCACAGTTCATAGTATCTTAAATTTGGCAGAATGTGGCATTCATTTAGTATTTAGCATCTAAGCTACTGGAAAGGGGCGAACAAATAAAACCAGGGTAATAAAAAATGCAAATATTTGGGTTAGACTTCTTAGGTGGTCCAATAATTGACTCCTCACAGGGAAGTTTTAAATCTCTGGGAAATTGTCCATGTTGATCTGAGGCTCCCGTGTATGCGAGTTGTTTCTGCACTGTGGAAGGCTGAAGAGAATTCCTCTGCTCGTAGGTAAGAAGCACATTGCCGTCTTGGGTAGCACAGATGGGGAGTCTTCTGATGACAGCCTCGTCGATTTGGTAAGTGCTGAAGGCCGGTCAATTGCAGAATTGCCAAAACACGGCTTTTATCACGAACTGGTATTTCAGAGAAATGCAGTCTTTGGCGGGGAAAGCCCCGTAACCTTTTATGAAATAGACTTGCTTTCTCCCAGACAGCTCCCTTTTGCAAAGAGCTAACCTTTGACCTTTTAAAAAGAAGGAAAATTGAAGTCCTGGGAAAAATGATGAGCACACTTAAATGACTGGGGTGTGCACCTGCAACCTCACCTCCTAAAATGAAGTGAGAAAGGCCAGAACGGTCTTAGATAAAGTCAGCACGCCTGCACCACTGGTAAGGCGGCTGCCGGAGCCACACGCTGTCTGTCTGACACCTCGGCTTTAATAAGGCCGCTGACTGATGTAAGATAAAAAACCAAGTTATAAGAGAGACACCCCAAAACAGCATACGGGGACAGTGTCCTTTTAGCAAAACGTGACTCTTCCATTTAAAACAAGTTGCTCTCCCCCCCTCCCCCCTTTTAAGGCCGTTGGACTGGGTGTCCGGTTTATCAAGCTGGGAGGTCTTTCTCGAGGCGAGCGGGTGACTAAGTACAACCGTGTTTTCACTGTAGAGGAAGAACTTGTCCAGCACGGAACACTGGGTATGTGCTGCTTTCTCGCTTTGTTTTCCCTTAGCCATGAATAAGAGAACAAAGATGGGAAGAGGGGGAATAGAAGCCTCTCAGCAGGAGGGCAGGGGACTCCAAAGGCCATAAATAAGTGGTGACAAACGAGGATGGCATTTGCCACAATGTGTATTGTTTCCTTAATGGGTTATCTATTTACCTGAATGTTTAAAACTCTTGCTGTTCTTCGTGATAAATAGGCTGCGTGATGCTTTTCAATAGAATTAATTGATTGGAATCTCCAGCCCTACCTTTTGTTATGGTCCAAATTATAGCTAAGGTTTCTCTGCACAGCCCATGGAAGTTAAAGGCAGATTGTTCCCGATGGTTCTTGGAAACCACTCATTTTACTTAAGACAAGTAGGCAGCGTGTTAATGTTAATGCTGTACTTCGGGAAGGGCTGTGGCCTCAAGAGAAACGAACCAATCGCTTATGACATCAAACCTTTATAAATCTGCACGGGTCGAATCACCTTGTGTGCTGGCTAACCAGACAGAAACACCCCAGAGATGCAGTTTCACTTTTTATATGACTGATGGTGATTGCTAAAAGTAGGTATGTAGCATGCAGAGGCATTAAAAGAAACCAATAGTTATTGTCTTTGTAATTCTGACGCTATTTTGTATTTTTAAGATAGACTAAACAAATTGACATGCTGGAGAAACAGTATATGTTATGTTATTTAAGTAGTGCTGACAATTGAAACATGAAGCCCAGCTGGTGTGGCTCAGTGGTTGAGCATCGACCCATGCACCAAGAAGTTGCCGGTTGGATTTCCGGTCAGGGCACATGTCCAGGTTGTGGGCTCGATCCCTGGGGGGGTGGGGGGGGGTGTTGGGTGCTGGAGGCAGCTGATTGATGTTTCTCTCCCATCGATGTTTCTATCCCTCTCTCCCTTTCTCTCTCTAAAACTCAATATAAACATATTTTAAAAAACACATGAAATTTTCTTGAATGCTATAAATGAAATCAATGAAATGGGACAGATGTATTCTAGAATGTATAGTGGAGCATACAATGAAAGCAAGGACACAGTCCTACTTTGTAACTCAGTCTACGCATCAAAGGGGAAAAACTAAAAAAAAAACAATAGAAACTGTGATTAGACATTTGTCATGTTTAACATGTGTAATGATTTTGAAACATACCCTAAGACGCACAGAAAATAAAGATATAATTGGGAGACTATTTTCAAGTCATGTAGGGTAGTCAAAAATTTCTTTGTGTTGTTTGGTGTTCGACACAGGCTTGTTTTTTCAGACAGGTAAAATGATATTCTTCCCACGCTTCACCTGATTATTATTATTTTATGTCAAACTGACATGGGGAGCCTGGGTTCCTTCAGTGACGCATCACATTCCATTCAGATTCACCACAAGGGAGAGAGCTGCTCCAGGGCATCAAGGACTCCAGTGACCAGACCAGTCCCTCCTGGCGACAGCGCAGGCCCCTGAGCATCCCAGATGAATTAACAGATTACTTTCTCTGACATTGGCTGTGGTCAATAAATGTTAAGGGGACCAAAAACTGGAAAACCAAATCTCTCCACTGAGAGATTGAGGAGGAAACCCTGGCAAAAGCTCAGCTAATAAAACCCTGTCACTGTCCACGTGGACCTGACGGGGACAGTCGCCGTCTGCACCCGTTCCCTTGGGGTGGTTAGTTGGCAGAGGTTTGCGTTCACGTACGGCCCTGGCCTTCCCTCTAGTTTATCTTCTTCCTCGTAGCCTTGTCTGCCAAGCCACTGCCCACAGTCACTGCACATCAACTGTTCCAGAAGGCTGTGTGAGGGTACAGTGCAAACTGGAAAAACAAGTGTATTGCTCAGTTAGCGTATAACCAAAACAGGCCGAGTTTTAAGTGGTTCTAGAATCCGTTCTGACGGTGATACGACACCTCTGGGCAGTTCTCAGGATGGTCTCCTTTCAATCAGATAGCACCCAAATTGGCACCATCGCATCAGACAGTAAAACATTACTGTTGTTGTTTTTTAATAGGTTTCAGTGGAGAACTCACCTTTTTTAACTTGAATGAGGAAGAAGAAAAGGCGGCCCAGGCACTTGAGGCCGAGGCTGCCCTGGCTGGGGAGCTGCCCGAGCCCCCAGAGCCCATCTTCCCCACAGAAGTTGTGGAGGAGTCAACCTAACCAAGCGCATCTTCTGGACCGGGCTGCACACCCAGGTTACAGCCGCGCCCGTGTTACTAGACTGGCAGGTCTGAAGTACGTCGTCTTCATGTTGGTTTTGCTCTAAAACTTCACTAACTTGTGTGGCCTTTTCTTTTACCATTTAATGAAATATACATGCAGTATTTCTGCCTGGAATGACACCTGTGAACTGTCTTACAGCCATCACATCGCCGTGGAGCTTCTGTTTGAGTACCTGCTCCCCGCCCATCGGGGGCGGGGAAGGTGACCTAGTAGAACAGTGCAGTCCTTTGGCTGCCAACTCCACACTCAGTTCAGAGACCTCACACCTTACAAATGAAAACATCTCTGAAAACAAAATCTTTTACATTAGGGGGAACGGGCGTGGTTGTGTCTCTTACACACCCGAGCCGGAAAGCGCAGACACGTTTCGTAGCCGACCTCATGCAGAAGTAGGTTCTCAACAGCCAAGCAGCTTCCGCGTGTCTTCCTTCCCGCATTTCCCTTTGCCCTGACTCGCTCCTCTTTCGAAATCTTAGTCTTTCTTACATTATTTATATCCTTGTGAGTCTCCTTCAATCCTTTTTTGGAACAAGAATGAGTGTAAGTGGATAAACACGTGCATGAGTGGATAAATATTCTTAAGGGAATTCAAGGCTCAATTATTTATATTACAGTACGTAACAGGTGCCTGGAGACAGCGTGGCGTCTAGGGTGACTGTCAGCCAGCTTCGGGCCACAGCAGAGGAGTAGCAAACGAACTCACGCGATCACATACCTCCAGATATAATAACGGACAACGGCTCTGTATGGTTTGGATTCTGTTAAAAGTTATCATTTGCTTTACCCAGAAATGATATAAATTGCTCTATCCTGCTCTGTGGGAGAGTTGGCGACATTCAGGTTTCTGACATATTCTACGTTTTTACTAAACACACTGAGGACCTCTCCTTCGAAGAGCACGAAGAGGAAAATGTAACGGTCTATGGCAGAGCCAAGGCCTTCCCCTCGAAGCAATGACACGGAGGTGGCTCAGGGGCAGAGCATCCCAGAGCGCAGGGCGGGGACACTGGTCGGCCTCACTCCCGAGGCGAGAGGACAGTGTCCCATTTGTGGTCGCTATTGCCTCTCCTGATCCTCACAGCAAACAGTGGGGTGTGAGAAACTGGAAGGAAAATTCATTTTCAAGGCAGGAGGAACAGACTGGGTGTTCACACAGCCTTTGAATGTGTACATGTATGCACACACACATACACATGAATGAAACATGGGAGACCATAGGATGCCCTGGAACTGTGATACAAATTATAATTAAATGAATGAAACCAGCGCAAAAATGTGCAACTAAGTACATAGGTAAATTATATTAACCAAAGAGGCGATTTATGACCTCAACCAGATCGGCTCTTGAATGTCAACACAGAGCACAGCCTTGACCTCACTTGCGGACTGGGGTCACCATTGGGTAGGTAGCATTTCAGCTTAAACTGTTAAAAGTGATAAGCATTGTTTCTATTTTCTCTCTGTGTCTACATTTGTTATGTAATATATAATAGATATAAAACAGGTAATCTGTAAAAGAGATGAAAGAAACTAGTCATCTCCCATTTAAGAGTGGACAGTGGGGTTGGGAAATGTCGGGGCTCTAGGACGGACCGCTCGGTGACCCTCCTAAGGCCCGTGGTGATGACGGACGGCCATCCCCTCTCCACGGCTGATTCCCACACGAGCAGAAGTTACTCCACGATGAAACTGATGACATGCGTACAGTGTGCATTTAGAAAAATCACCCTACCTTTGTTTCTTAAGATTCTGTGTTATGGACTATCATTTACCTGACAACCCAAAAATGGTCTGGAAAGATATTAACCATGACTTTTACCTGTGCTACCCCATTTCTAACATGTTATTGTTACCAAAGAAGGGAAGGAAGAAGGAATATTGGTGAGCAGGCAGAGCCAAAACACCGGTCCTTTTACCCAGCTCCAACAAGGCAGGCGGTCAGAGCCCTGGTGCTCCCTGCCCATCAGAACCTCCACAGGACTGATCAGCACTGAAGCTGCTGTGGGGGAGGGGGTGAGCCTAGCTCAGACACAAAAGGGCTAGAACTGCCCTGGTCCGTGAGGCTCAGTTGGTTGAGCATCAACCGGTGCACCAAAAGGTTGCCAGTTCAATTCCCAGTCAGGACATGGACCTACTTGCGGGTTTGATCCCCAGTTGGGGTGAGTGTGGGAGGCAACTAATCGATGTTTCTCTCTCACATTGATGTTTCTTTCTCTCTCTCTCCCTGTCTTCCTAAAATCAATAAAAAACATGTTTAGAAAGTGTTAGAATTTTAATTAAATTCTCATTCTTTCAGAAGAATGGAGGCATTTTCTTTTTCTTGAATAGCAAGAACACAAATATCCCTTTGCCTCACTCTGGCTATGAAATTGCATCAACGTGAATTACAAACTTCTCTAGCAGATGAGACATAATTCATATTTCTAAAACAGAAGGGGAAAAAATCCTTTTTTAGAGAAAAAAATATAAAGATGGCAGTCTTTTCCAATTTTAAAATAGCACAAGTAGGGTGTTTATCATTTTTTTTATGCAAAGAGCTAAGAACTTACCTCGAAGATACAAGCCTAGTCTTCCCAGGTCTCCCCGCCCAGCCTAACTGCTTGTTGACTATGGCACCCCAGCAGGGACAAAACTTCCTAAAAACGGACGTGACAAGGGGAAAACTGTAGGCAGAAAAAGGTGCGCAAAATCCTATATCAAATACCTTTATATCAAATTAATTTTAAATGACTGATCGTGGTGAAAGAAAGTAAGCAGCTTAGAAAAGCTAGAACACCCAAATGCCAGTTACCACCTGCTGCCTGGCCTAGCTGACACACCTCACCACATGGTTCACTCTCACCCTGGAGACGGGGGTGCTTTTATAAGGGCATGGCTCTCTTCTGTGTGTGACGGGGCAGGAAATAAGAGCACACGTCCTCATACTCCTAAATGTGTCCGACACCCCGGTGGGCTGGTCACAGGCAGAAAAGAAGAGCATGAAGAAACGGAGTAAATTCCTCAAATTAAGCCACTTTGTGGACTATTAAAAATTACTAAAGTTTTCAGCGCTTATATACTTTTCTTTTTAAAGAACATCAAATTCAAGGAACCGAACCCAAAATGTCAATAACCACAAATGACCTTTAATAAGATACTGTTGGTGCTTTTTAATAAGAGTGGTGAGGAGAGTTCGAATCACAGCATAACAGAACTTGTTTAAGTGAATCAATGCAGTCTGAAGTCAGTACATCATAGCAGTACTCTTCAGTCAGGGGAATTACAGTCGAAAGCATCACATTTCCATTTCCCGAGGGTAAACTGATATGTAACCGTAAAATCGTCACTGGAAGAACATGGAAACAGTCAAGCATAACGAACCTACAGAAAGAGAATTAGCTCCAAATTGAGGAAGTTCATTTACCTGCCTACCCACCTCTTCAAGCCTATGCTTAGCACACGTGCAAAAATAAAGTACGATACTGTTACTGCAATTATGACTATCATTTTCTTTTGCCCTTAGGTGAGAAACACCTGACAGCTACATGCTGAGCTATGCTAACAAAACTAAACTTTTCACTTTCTTTAATAGTAAAATTACCATTACTGAACCACTGTCATAAAAAATGCATTCAAGTACATGACCACTTATTTTAAACAAACATCAATTTTGAAACAATCAACTTTGAAAAGCTGCGTAAGTTTTTTTTTTTTAAATCCCTGATTACATTTCTATTTATTCACTGTGGTAGACTGAAACGTTTTATTTTTAGAGACTGACTACCACTTAATTTCTTACAAACCCCCCCAAAACCCCACAGAACAAAACAATACACGTGTAATGCAGAACAGCAGTATCACAGGAAGATTGTCTGCTTGCCACTTATCCTCACTGTACACAGAACTGTGATAAAATATGGTACGTGTGCCACGTTAGCACATGAGAAATCACAATTAACTCGTAGCACAGAGCACACAGTTTACCAAGATAACTCTCTTCGATTCAAGGGTTGGACTTGCACCTCAATTCTGCATTCGGGCCACCAGAGTGTTCCCCCAAAGTCCTCGGGAGGTTTTGAATCAACAGCATGTATTTTTCATCCCACAGGTAACAATGTGTGTAATTCGCATTGACTCTGGGGCTACTGGTTGGACGCGAGCTCCTGAATTGTACGTTTATCTCAGTACCCCCGAGAAAGTAGTTTGTATGCCACAGTGCCCAACAATTTCCATGCTACTGCAGTTTCTCCATCAAAAAGGATCGGATCCAAAAAAGAAGCTTATTTGGGGGCTTTTTAAGTCGCTTTAAGTTGTTCAGTTCTGTTTATCCAATTGTCCACAGCTCTGCAAACTGACAGCATTACATTTGAGTAGTGGTACGTACATTAACTAAAACGATAGCAACATCTGATTTATTTTTGTAACCTTCGAAAAGAAGTCACACTTAATATAGTAATTAGAAAAAAAAACCTTACCCTTAAATGTAAAAAGAAAACCTATGTAGAATGCGTATTTTGCTAAACAACTTACTTATATTTATAAGTGAACTACTTACAAAAGTGACATCAGAGAAGAACCTGTTGTCTGAATCCAGTGACAAGAACAAGTGTCTGTAACCCTCGCCAATACACCAGAGCTCACCATGTGCTCATTGAAAAGGCCCCTAAACACGTGAGCCTTCTGGTTGATGAATCAGCAGCTGGAGCTGTCTGGGTCTCTCATTTTCTCAGCGCTGTCGTCTTTGTATTCTGGTTTAATTTCGCCTTCATCATCCTTGCGTTGAGTTGGCTCTTGTTCGGCAACCTGGTCTTTGGTTTGGGGTTCATGTGTGGAAACAGGATCTAAAACTACAAGTGGTTTGGCTTGCTTCTCACTGCCAGTACACTGTCTCCTCCAGCCAGTGTCACTGGGAGGCCTAGGGGATGAACAGTTCAAAAAAAAAAAAGAGAGAGAAGCAGAGAGAAAATATTTATTTTTCATATTCCTGGATTCAGACGAGCAAAACACCCACAACGGTCTAAGTCTAAGCAACATGCACAGAGTGGTCTCCGAGGTGCCAGCCAGGTAAACAAATGAAGCTATTAGATTACAGAGTAGGAGCCCAAGGCCAGAAGGAAGAAGGCGGAAAAAGCGATTAACTACAGGAGTGTTAAAAGCCACATGTACCTACCTGCTTAATTACACGCTCTTCTCAGGAAGCGGAAAGCTCACGGACACGTGCAGACCGCCCCACTGCCTGAGCCCCGGCTCCTGTCCCTCCCTCGCTCAGCTGAAAGGAGCCACTTAACCCCCTGCCTTGCGTCCCTGGCCCGTCTGGTTGCAGATTAGCCCCGAGGAGACTGCGTGGGCCCGGGAAGTAAATCTCCCCATCACTGAAGGACAGCTGAGACACGGGGAGAAATCTGCTCAGAAATGGGGGGGGGGGAGGGGGGGAGGTGGAAGAACCTGGAGAATAAGCCAGAATGCTAAGTTACTGTAAACTTTCTAAAGAGGAGAATCGCATTTCTTGAGACATCTCTTCTTGAATTTCAGATGCAGTCTTTTCCACGGAGGTGTTCTTGTCTTCTCTTGGATGCAAGAAGCGACTGCTTCAAGCTGAATGGGTGACAATTTCCTCGTGCAACGAGATGTCCTAAAACACTCTTGCCCTGTGTCAGGAAAGCAGGCAGTTGGCATCCCCTCCTCTCAGAAGTCACGGTCAGAAGCCACTACCTGAAGTCCTGGGCTGCTGACGGGTGCCTGAAGGTTGAGGGGTGTAGTAGGCGGGGCAGGGGCTATTCAAACTTATCTGGTCTTCTTGGCAAATGCTAGGATTTTAACTATGAGACAGCACAGCCTGTCCCCCCACCTGGATGTCAGGACATGGACAGACCCACTGGCTGGGCTCTGCCCACTCATCTACCAGCCCCTTACCTAGAGTTGATTTCTACTATTCCCTGACTCCTGGAGAAGGTCAGATCTGCCCCCGGCAGGCACTCTCTTACCACTCAATACTGCCCCCCTGTTGGACGACCATAGTTATAATTAAATATTGTGCAATTAGTTGTTTAATGTCTGTCTCTTCAAATACAATGCAAACATCCCTGAAACAGGGATTGTTGAGCTTTGTCCACCGGTTATACCCTAGCTAGCACCTGGCACAGGCCCATTTGTGGAAAAAGCAAATGAGCGAACACTAATTAACGGCGTCTGAGAAGCTCATGATGAATGGACAGAAACCAAGGCTTTGGTGTGAGCAGGTCTGGAGGCTTCTCTTACACAACAAAAACAACAGAACAAATGACAAGCCACTGAGAGAAAATGTCCTACAGGGCCCAGTCACAGGGACAAAAAAAACCTCAAACCCAATGACCAGTCTTATCACTTTCTGACCAGTGCTACGAGATTTATCTAGATCTTGCAAACCACTCCATCTGGCGACCCGGTTACACTGTGACCTGCTCATCAGCGTTAAGTGATGAGCGCGGAGCTCTGTCTCCCTTGGAGGTGGGAAAAGCCAAGAGAGGACCAGGGGGAGCCTGAGAGGAAAGCGGAGCTGTCCAGAGGGCAGATTCCTTGATTTGTGCCTCAATCTGGCAATGCCCTTGTCATCACAAACACGGAGACACCGCTCACCTCCCTTCCCGAGGACCCACTTCTCAAGATATCTGTTACTATACTTTCGGAAGCAGAATGGGACAGTTTCCCCAGTGGTACCTGGGGTGACTTTCTCTGAGCCTGGCAACGCCTAGAAGGCTGTACATATTGGGACACGGCCAGCGACACACAGCCACTGTGAGTGACAGAGGGATTACGACAGCCTAGACCTCAGGCAGTGGAGGGCGCTAGTCAGCAGTCTGTCTCTGTTTGCTGCCTCTGTCTCTCACCATCTGCAGTCCTGACGGTGCAGACCCCACGTGAGGAAGCTGGGGCCCTTCCTCGCGGAAAAGCGCGTGCACCTGGCCCTGCTGCTGCCACATGCTGCCTAGGCGGCCACAGGTGTGACTGTAGCAGCGCGGACCTCCAGAGCGCTACAAAAAGACCACTGGGTCACTTCTGCCTTCTCCATCTCATGCACTTTCTCTGTGGCTTCCCTAACCTAGAAGCAATGGGCACGGGAATTCCAGGAAAGGAGGTTCCAGCCAGGCCGGGTTGGTACAGTCAAAGCCACAGAGCCTGGCTCTACCATCCTGGGTTTGAGCTCACCGTATGGAAGCCAGCCAGTCTGCTCTGAGCATGCAAAGGCGTATTCGTCTCATTCCAGGTGAGCAAATTCCATCAACCCATACTGACCTTTACCACCGGTGCAGAACCAGCAGGGGTGTTTCCATGCCCAAGCGTGCCTGCAGGTGAAGGGGTGGCGGACACCTCCTAGAAAAAGCTTTCTTCATCGGTGGGAGGCCGAACACTTCCAGGAAGTGTTCTCGGGGCTTCGCAACAGCAACAGATGGATGTTGATTGAACTGAAAACCTGGACACCTTGTATTGTCAGGTTGAAATTGTTCTGAAATCGTCTCAGTCCAAAGAATTGTTCCTCTTTCTTGAAGTAAGCGTCTCGACTGTAGATTAATCTAGTATTAAGTCACCTGCAGGCTACAGTTTGAGAACTCCTTTGTTGATTATCACTGGACTCGGCAGAGTGGGCGATGCCTCTGAATCTACGCACTGAGAGTCAGAGGAACGAGTTTCTCAAGGCTAATGGGCACTGGCTTGGAATCCCAATGGGTTAAGACTAAAAGGGACCACGGCGACCGCCGAGTCCAATCTGCCCCTTTACAGATGAGGAAAACGACGTCTGGAGAGGGCACGAGCCTGGCCTAACGCCACACAGCTCAGGGGCAGCAGAGCCAGGACAAGAACCAGGAGCTCTGTCTCCACGTCCCTGCGTGTCCACAGCACCACGCTGCTGACCAAAGGCATCTTCTCCTAGGAAAACAGTGACATCACAGGCTACATTTGGCAAGCTTAATGATTTCTTTCTGAATCCCAGTTTTCAGGGGCATCTTTCAGATATGTAAATATAGAATCCATCCCTTCAAGCTATTCCCCCTCCCCCTTTTTTTCCTTTGTGACTTGTAGTTCCTCCTGGTTTGACATCAGGCTCATTCCTGGTCCCCGCGGGGAGCTGCCCAGGGCCCCTCCTGGAACCAGGGGCCTTCCTCCTGGCCTCCATTCCCGCTCCATTCCCATCTCGTGGGAAGAGCAAGGGAGCCCCGTCAGTGATGGCGCCAAGAACCAGACTCCTGCTCCAGGCAGCTGTAGTGGCAGCTTTCAAAGGGTTAAATCTGAACCTTCTCCCCCAAGGTGAAAGTCCCAGGCACCCCAAAGCCACAATCCAACAGGAACTGCAGTCTATTATTATTCCGCCCAACTTTTCTATTATGACCACAAATAAGAAATTAAAATTCAGTACTCATGAAGAGTATGGCAGACCGCCTACATCCTGCAAAATCTCCAGGTGAACTGGAATTTTACAGGTGAGTAAAGTAAGACTAAAAGCATGGGATGTTCGAGCTGACAGGGATCACTAATCAATCACCTTTTCATTTGTCAAACAAAGACACCAAAGAAGTCAGTTAAGCAATTTGCCCAAGGGCATAACAGACAACAGGACTAAAATTGTGGACTCTTGATTTCTTGTCCAATATTTTTTTTTTCCTTTCTACAACATACCAGTCGTCATTTATGATCCACTTAAATAGATAGTTTCACAGGTCATTTTAGATCATTTGCTCAAGGGCTATTTCAAGACAAAAGGGGGGGAAAAAAGCAAAATAAAAGCTACGAGACCATGCCCATGTTTGCCACCCTCGGAAGCCTGATGCCCAAGCACTGTGCCCGTTTAGAAAGCAGACACGTTTCCTCAGCTGCAAGAGAGCCAGAGGGTGGGACGAGGACAGGTGGGGCCACTTGCTGATAAAAGGGAAGACCTGACTCCAAACTGTAGTGGCACCAGAAGAATAAGAACCACTGAAAATGGTCCCGCCAGAGCTGAACTTTGTGAAGGACTCAGACTGTTCTAAGAGATGAAAACGCAGCATTCTAAATTTTTAAAAAGTACATCATTGTTTGCATTCAATGAAATTCCCTTCAAAATCAACTTTCCAGGTTCCAATTATGTTCAACAAATTCTAGCTAACATTTCGGCTGCAATTGAAATTAACTAATGCCCCAAAGAGCCCTCATCGGCATGGTTCTGAGCTGAATTGAATGCAATCAAAGCTCATGAAATGAAGGGGGAAATGCTTATTTCATGCAAATTCTACATATCACTCAAGCTTAATTTTACTGATAATATAAAGGTGGGACATTTTGAACATTACAGTGAATGAAACTTTTAAGCAGTGAGCGTTATTTTATAAAATGCTACCTCTGAAAAGCTGATTGCCAAACAGTATAAAAATGGTTTGAGGCATAAATGCCAAGTTCATTTCTATTTCACTTCGGAAGTAACTATCTTTCAAATCGCAACAGCTGGACTATTTAACACAATCTGGTGAATCAAAGTATAGTTCTTCTCTGGTCGCCCAGTGGGACGTCTGCATTAGTCGGTGGCAGCCATCCAACAAATGACGCACAGCCGGACGGTCTGAACTCTGTTTCATTTACAATAAAAATGGATCCAGCCGCAACCATATTTACCACCTTCAAGGACAGAAAACGGAAAGATTTAAATCTGTCTTTATAAAGTAGTTTCCTGGGAAAACTCCAAAGAGGATGCCAGTTTTATATCTCCCCTTGCGTAAAAATAAGAAGTGCCCCCCCCCCAGTGACAACAGCCGCGCACGGCAGTGGCATTCTGTTGTTTCTCTCAGACACCCTGGTTTTTGGGAGATTTTACTACCCTGGTCCAAAATTTCCCCAGACAGACTTTCAAACATAAAAGGACGCTTTCTGAATTTTACCAATTCTAGAACTTTCAAATATAATGCAGGT